TAGTATCAAATGTATAGAATTTGCAAAATTTCATTTAATGTTATTGGAAATTTGCTCCACTCCAGATGTTACCCATTTTCTAATCTTGTCTTAATTCTAATTGGCAGCCTTCGTACCTCAGAAACAAGTTACCTGAATGAGGCGTTTTCATTCTACTCAGCCATCCGTCAGCGGTCCTACTATTTTCAGGTCAATAAAGAGGACAGGTAAGTTACTGTAAGTTTTTTGGGAAATGCACACACAATGCTTTTTTGTAGGAGATATTCATTGTTGGTTTGGGTCTTAACATTTGATTTGGTAACAGTCAGAAAAATGTATATATAAAAGTTACTTTTTAAATTTTTTCAACACAGACAGCAGCAAGAAACAAGTAAAAATGTAAAGATGCTTCTTTCCTCCAAAAAAAAAAAGTGAACCATAAAGTGTCCTTCATTGAAATGTGCTCTACTGTTAATGCGGATTTATTGACTTGACAAATCCTTTTTCTCTCTTTTCTTTTATCAGGCCAGAATTAGTAGTGAAGAAGCTTCGATATTATGCTCGCTACATAGTTGTCTGTTTACTGCTGAACAAGATGGACCTTGTCAAAGTTTTGGTTAAGGTATGGAAGCAACGTTTTATTCAGTAGAGCAAGCCATGTGACCAAATATTTTACTTTTCCTCCCATGGTTATCCTGGAATTTGAAAACCCTTCCCTAAGTACCTCATGTCATTCCTAGCTTAATTTCAGTGTTCAATATGGGAAATGGATACACCTTTACAGCAGTTAAGAAGAAGAAGATTTACTTTTATTGTCATGTTTTTACACTTTTTACATGCATACACGAAATTGTTCTCCGCATTTAACCCATCCAGTTGGCACCTGTCGAAGCACACACATGCATAGAAACACACAGACAGATGCCATGTACACACATACTGGAGCGGTGGGCTGCCGTTGTCAGCGCCCGGGGAGCAGATGTTGGGGGGAGGGGGGGCGGTGCCTTGCTCAAGGGCACCTCGGTTGTGGCGAGGAGATGAGCTGCCACCTGCCACCGGCTGTCAGTTCATCAATTTTTCTCGAACTATGCCATGCTGGACAGGCCATCTCTAACTTAATGTAAAAGGTAGAGTGTAGGATTCCTGTAGGTATCATACATCAGGATGCCATTTAGCTTAACAATCTTCAAAAACTCATAACTTACTCATACAGAGACCTAGTTGTTGATGCATTCTCTCTGTGACAGCCCTAGTACTAGAAAGTTTTCATAGACCAAGTCAGGAGGGTAGACTACTCCATATGATTGAAGAAAGAAAGTCATTGTATGGTGACAGAGGTGCTGCTTCCCAAAGAGAATACATTTAGGGTTGACTTGATTTAGTCACTTGAACACTTGAACTACTGTTAAATAGAGCATCTTGTCCACCTGTAATGTTAACAGGTATAAAGAAGGGGCGAGGTATTTTGCTTCTGTGGAATGCATTGCGATTAAGGAGTGCTTGTCAGGTACTGTACCACTGGACTACTTTGCTTGATATGACTCTTATTATATGATGCAGGATTTGTGGCTATTGAGGTTACTTCAAGTTGAACTCACTCCTACAAAGCTGGTTCATGCGGTGAATCACCATGGTAACCTATGGCAACCTGTGCTTACCATGGTGTTAAACCATTGACCTGCTCCAAAGCAAGTTAAGTTTGTCTGTTATCAACAGCCCATCTACTGACCAATCTCTTGAAAACAAGGTTCATCATTTTACAGGATCCTGACCAGGACAAAAGGGTGTACAGTAAAGTGAATGATAATAAAGAGCAACAGATATTTTCTTGTAGATAAGTGGAATCAATTTCCTGTTTCAGACTTTCCATGTAACCACTCTGTTTTTTTAAACAAAGCTTCTAATAAAAGGTAGTTTATCAAACTTACTCAATTCAAAGGCTTATAAATAGCACTGCTTAATTTGAATTCGACAAAGATTATTTTGTTCCCAAAAGGATTCCTAACACAGTGTTGATGCTTTTATTGTCTTATTCTATTAGTGCAGCTCGGGAATAAGTGAAGCTGTCACAATTAATACAAATTAAAAATAAACCACCTGATGACTTTTATTAGAATAATTATTAATATACTATTAAATATTTCCCGTAATTATGAATGAACCAAACAGATAGGCCTCATGAGACTACTCCTCTCTTCTTTATGTGGTGAAGGTGCTATTCTTTTGCGCAAGAAAATCAGGGAATTGCTTATCCCCATTGATCATCTGCTACTCTTCTAAAAGGTCCAATAAACACCAGCTTGATTATAGCACTGGAGAAAATGAGGCCATGGTCCTGCTTCATAATTTTGAAGTGTACATTGGGTCAACTTGATAACTGATTGATGTTTTTACTGGTCACAGCCCTTAAGTGTTTCTCTCTCAGATCTCCAATCAACAACAATCTGCCCCAGATTTCTTTTAATTAAACATTAAAAAGTGATGTTTAATTCTTGGGCAAGGGGCTGTTCAGATGTAGAAGCTAAGGTGGTGAGGTGGAGATGCAAAAAGAAACTTTTCTCCCTCCTGTCCTAATTAGGGACATCATTGTTTGCTTAATTGTTACTTGCTCCATGGTCCGTAATCTTCTTCATCTGCATGAAAATGTTTTGAGGTTAGTGCAAGGTTCCTATTGGAATTGCACTGATTTTCTTCTTCTCCTGCAAAATGAAGTGGAAAAATCCTCCTTCTTCTTGTTTTTCCTCTTGTCCTTCAATATATTACCAGTTATTAGGGCCGAAGCTCTAACAGTGCAAGGATTGTTTTGGAATTGCTCCGATTCTTCCTTTTTGGGGGCCTAAACATACTCGAATACATTCATTGTGTCAGGCACGGGACTTGGGGGAAGGACTCGGATGCAGAGTTAGGAGAAAGCTGATGCAGCTCGGGTATTTATTTTCACACAAATACAATGACTGAAGAACAGAGGGCGCCTCGATAAAGAGGGAATGATTACAAAACTTACAAATCAAAATCCTACCTTCCGTGAAGGGATAAGGGAAAGAAAAAAACAACACTTAACTAAGATCTAATCTAAAGGGGGAAAAAAGCTATGAAAATTAGTTATAAAATCAAATCTCCTCCTGAGAGGGAATTAACTACAAACATTAACAAAAAGAACAAAACTCCTACAATGAGGGATACGTGATGAACTAGTAACAGAAATATATCTTCTCCTAAGAGGGAAACACTATGAACTAAAATACAACTCCTACAACGAGGGACAACACTTTTAAAATATATATAAACAAAATTCTCCTCCGAAGAGGGACAAGATCTAACGATAGCTAATCTACACTAACAAAAGGAGCTATGAAAACTAAGAGGCAAAACGGCAACAAAAAACACTCTTAACGAGGCAACCGACTGTAACTGTGGATCTATGACGAAAGGCCGGTGATGCTTGACAAGGGACAAGACACACTGGCACAGGACAAAGGGGAGATGCAGACTATAAGCACACATGGAGGTAATGGGAAACAGGTGAGCATAATCAGGATCGGGGAAGAAAATCAGACCGAGGCACATGAGGAAGGGCAAGTGACCTGAAACGAGAGGAGAGCTACTTTTCAAAATAAAACAGGAAATCACAATACGAACATGGAGACAAGACTAAAACTTAACTTGATTTTACTGTGGTGTGACACATTGTACGGAATTCACCAACTCCTTTCGGCTCTCCTAACCAAATTTCACATGAATACGGAAAATGAGCTAGCCACAGGACACCAAGGAATTCACTGCCATTCCCTAACATGACATACAGTATAACAAATTTAAATTCAGACAGATAAAATCTGTTGGAGGTGTAGGATTTTGTAGCACGTGTGAAAATCATGCCAAATGTGTATATTCAATCCAAAATGGCAGACAGGACGTTGGGTGTGGCAAAGGATGACGAGAATTTTTTTGTGTGCCTGGGCATGAAACACGTGCCAAATTTGTATCTCTCTAGTCGGAAGTAAAGCACTTGAGAAATTCTAATTGGGTCCTCACACTGTTAATGCTTAGGCCCTAAAAATATCTAACTATATTAAAATATTATAAAATATATTAAATGTCTACTACTACTAATATACTTATAAGAGGATATTAAGTCAGATTTATCTTCAAGGGGCCCTAACTGAAAAGGCCTTGTCACCCTTAGTCCTCAACCGGGTTTATGGAATGGCTAGCAAGTTCTTGGATGAGAACCTCATCTTAAACAATCAGTAAAGTACTTGAATGCAATTTTAGAGGGGGCCTTAAAAGTGTCTTCAAGGGACAGTTCACTGTAAAATTAAAATTAACTCATTATCTATTCACCACTATGGTGATGGAAGTGTAGGTGAAGTCTGAGTCCACAAAACACTTCTGGAGTCTCAGGAATAAACAGCATTGCGGCCGAATACTAAGAGAGATTGTACTCTTAGAGTAAAGCAAAGCTTTGTACTGTCACTGACTCGTTACTGGCAATTATCGCTACCCAGACTATTAATTGTCAAGCAACCTGTTTTTTTAACTTAAATGAATGGATCCACATCATTTTACAGTCATTCCCTGAGTCACCCAGTGTGTGATTTACTGTCCCATTCACTTCACATTATACGGAAAACTGGTCTGTCACTTGCTATCACAAGATAGCAAATTTTCTGGTCATCATCTACCTCTGCATATTTAATATTTTCACCCACTTTCATATTGCAATTACCCACGACTACTAAACAATGAAAAAAAAAAACAACTGTTAAGGTTATTTCAAGAAAATTGTTGGATTTTGTCCCTTTTTGAAACATTGGAACTAATGCACTGGCTTTTAAAAGACAAAAACAAAACTATGATTATTGCTTCCACTCAGAATACTGCGATATGTTTATTTCCCACATGAAATAACTTGTGCTAGTTATGGGGAAAAAGTATTTGTATTTGTAAATATACCTTATTGCAGCTGGAGTCTCCTCTGTTTGCTACCTGCAGGAGTTATCTGAGGAAATTGAAGATTACACACAGCGATTTAACACAGAAGATCAGTTGGAGTGGAATCTAGTTCTACAGGAAGTGGCAGCTTTTGTGGAGGTAATCGACTCTCCAAATATTGATCAACACAGCACTTAATCTTGTGGCTGTTTCATTATCCAGGTTGCTTGATACAGATAGTAATTTTCTGGACAGAATCCGTCTCACTTGTGCTTCTCTCTATGTGTTTGTGCAAAACAGGCAGATCCAGTGGTAGTACTGAATGATAACAACTCTGTCGTCGTCTTCAGCAATCGGATGCTGGAAGGAAGTACGCCTCCATTGGAACAAGGCATGGTAGTTGGCCAGCTCATCCTTGCAGATGCATTGATCATCGGCAACTGTAACAACCAGGTTTTAACCCACTAATTCTAATTGTAATCACAGTTCCTAATGCCTAATGTACATCAACACAGTTGTGTTGTTGCACATAAGCATGGTGTGCTTATTGGGCACACCATGCTTATGTGCCGTTGGAAAATGTTTTTATTCATTATGGTGACCAAAATGATCACGGTTATTAGTATTGTTGTGGCATTGTTAAAATGTGCTGTAAGTGTTCAAACATTAAGTTTTATATTGACACAATATAAATGATGATAGTATTTTCATTATTTATCCTAGGTCAATAACTTGTTACAGACCTCAACTCCTAATGTCAGAATTGGGACAAAATATTAGCGTTTGTTAAACTCGGACACAACTTGGTGTCAGTGGATGTTAGCATTTAGCAAGGTTACTTACTGTTATTCTACTTTTACTGCCCCACCTGTCAGCCACAGCCTTTACAGCACCAGGACTGACTGAATTCATATTAAGTTTTCATAGATAAGTGGGACGTCGCAATAATGAAGTAAAAATTCTGCAATTGATATCTGAAGAATGCCTAGAGGGAATTTCTTCAAATTTGGTATAGATATTAAAGTGAAATCGAAGATGAACTCATTAGATTTTCACAAAACCCATTTGTTGCTTTGTAAAGGTGATGTATCCGGAACACCATCAAGGAATCTTTCACATTTGGCACAAACATTCACTTGGAGTCAAGGATAAACTTATTTGTTTTTGGTAGCCAAAGGTCAAGGTCACAGTGGCCTCACAAACTAGTTCTGTGTTTTTCTTGTGTGTCCTCAAGTATAGTACAGACACAAAGAGAACTGAGGTCACATGGCCTTGCATTGTTTTGAATGCGATATATCAGGGATTTCATTACATGTGGCACAAACATTCACTTAAACTCAAGTATGACCTGAACAGACTGTGGTGGTCAAAGGTCAAGGTCTGAAGTAGCATCGGGCCATTGCTGTAAAATGAATGTAGGGAAACCTTGGGGTAATTACTGTAATTAAATTGTAAATAGTACAAGTAACTGTTGGATATTTTACCACGGTATACCATGAAACCGGATGAACTGATTATATTTTGCTGTTCAAAGGTTAAAAGGTCACAAGACCTTACATTGTTTTGAACGCATTATATCAGGAATTTCATTTCATGTGGCACAAATATTTATTTGGACACAAGGATGACCTGAACAGACTGTGGTTCAAAGGTCAAGGTCTGAAGTAGCATCAGGCCATTGCTGTAAAATGAATGTAGGGAAACCTTGGGGTAATTACTGTAATTAAACTGTAAACGGTACAAGTAACTGTTAGGTATTCTACCACCTTAAACCATGAAACCGAATGAACTGCTTATATTTTGCTGTTCAAAGGTAAAAAGGTCACAAGACCTTACATTGTTTTGAATGCATTATATCAGGAATTTCATTTTGCGGGCACAAATATTTATTTGGACACAAGGATGACATAGAATATGGTGGTGAAAGTTAAAGGTCACTGACCTTACAAAGCATTTTTTTTGCCTCGTGAATGCAATATCTCCAGAATACCTTAAGGGAATTCTTCTACATTTGGCACAAACATTCACTTGAACTTGGATTTCATTTTGGTAGTAAAAGATCAAGGCCATGGTGGCATCACGAAATATGGTTATGTTTTTTCTTCAACAAGGTATCTTAAAGGGATAGTTCACCAAAAGATTATATGTACTCTATCTAATCACCACTATGCTGATGGAGGGGTCTTTCCAAATCTGCATCCTCCAAACAGTTTGTAACCCTTACCTCAAGGTCCAGATGGGTTCTCCTTGAGACTATGTGAGTTGTTAAGCTAGGAGTTCTGCCAATGGTTGCAGATCTGAGGCCCTTCTACAAGTCAAAATACTCAACATATTCCTATAAAAATAAAGATACTAATTATGAATCCATTTGATGGTAATATAAATCTCTAACAATATTAAAACTGCTTTAAAATAACCACTGAGTATAAAATATATTTATACAGGTACGAAAAATCCATACTCCCCCTTTTATTGTGGGCAAATACAACATCGGACCTGAGACAATACTCAATGTATACGTGCTTAAAGTTGGCTGGAATATCAAAACACACCATTACACACAGCTGTATGCAGGATGCATGGTGATGAGGTAATTTATTTTAATTCTAATTCTAATCTCATCCATCTTGGAAGAGCTGGTCTGTATGGGTTAGCCTGTTGCCTAGAGCGTAGCCCGGATCACTTCCCCAACTTCTTTTTCCTCTCCGCTCAGCTTCAGTGTTGCCAGTTGTACGATAATAATCATATTTATATGATAACGTTGTCCTCTTTATGATACACAATCAATAATGGCATGATGTATGATAATTTGACAATTTTGTGACACTTATCGATTGTAATCTGGATAGAAAAATATGGCTCACGTATGTTTACGCATCACTTCTATTGTGATGTCTTTCCAGCATCATGCATGTTGTGATGTTGAACGTGAATATGGACCCCTATGTCTGTATGAACGTATATCTCTTCTCACGTGACGTCTTTTCAGTCAATCATGCTTGTAACGATGAATCATTCACACCATGATGCCTTGACTCACAAATTGCGAGTTTAATACAAGTCATTCCTGTTTCATGATTAAAAGTAAGAGCCTTGTGCCTTGAAAAGGATTGTTTCTGTACACTACATCACTGCTGAATCTTGTCACAGCTTCAAAATGTTGTTATTGAGTGTCGCATTCCAACTCTGGTCTCTTATGATAATTTCCCTCAAAATACAATCATTTTAAGCTCTTGGTTCAAGGCCCCAACAATTCCCATCAGGCAACAATGCTCAGCTTCTCTACAGGAGCCTGTTTTTACATAAACACAGCCCTGGTTGTTTGACTCAGGACCTATTATACTGTGGGTTATTGTTGGTGCATAGCCAAAACACTACACCTGGCATTCTATTGGTTGGGGAAATTTGACAGGGTTGTTGCACAAAAAAATCCAAGAGCAGAGGAGAAATGTGAGGGCAGACGATTCACGAGTGCACAGAAAGCAGCCTGAGTGCAGAGAATGGCTGAAGGGCAGGAAATCCGTGCAATCAACAATACAAAGTTAAGCGAAAACGGGCTATTTGAGTGTAAGGGCAGGGTTTTGATGAAAAAAAGTCTGAACAAATCCAACAAGTCATGCTCTCAAACTGAAAGACCACACTCTTGGAGAGAGATAGGAAGAAAGCTCCATATCTCTGTGTCAAGTAAATCACGTGATCTTCGCAGTGGAATTAATACGTCACTTCCTGTCTCTGCCTACTGCTATTCTCGCCTGAATAATGTGAAGTAGCTGTTGTGAATGCATCTGTGCAGATAACCTCCTGCTGCGTCGTATATGGTTGAAAAGCAAACTGGGCTGTCTGTATCCAATTTTACACAGTAATTTGATAATTAATAATTAAAAGTAATTTTGACAGTACTTATGATGCAGCAGTTTGGATCAAACCAAAGGCTTTTTTAAAAACTTATTGGGACATTCAAATAATAAAGAATTACAGTAGTCCCGTCTACAGGTTACAAGCGCATGGAGTAATGTTTCGGCATCCTTTTGAGACACCCCTTTAATTTAATAGTTTTGTGTAGGTGGAAGAAGGCTGTCTTAGAGACTCAAAGGACATTCCAAAACTCTAGGGTTCTTTAAAGTAGAGATGAGAGCCAAGTAAACGTCATTCCAATATAGCTTTCTAGTCAGATAATGTTTCACAGAGGGGTTTTAGGGCTAAGTGCAATGACTTCAGCTTTTCTAAATTTAAAAGTATAAAATCAAAGATCATCCATACCTCTTTCTCTTTAAAGGGATAGTTCAATGAACATTTTTAATTCACTCATTATCTGCTCACCACAATGCAGATGGAGGGGTTGCTGAAGTGTTTGAGTACACTAAACACTAGAGTTTCAGGGGTAAACAGTGTTGCAGCCAAATCCAGTGCAATTGAAGTAACTGGGGGGCTGATTTTTCAACAGACAGAAATGCTGTTGATGCTCGCTTGCGTGTACCCTTGGGGGTTGGCTTGTGTGTGTGCGTGCCAGGAGGATGTCAGTGGAACAAAACATGGTGTAAATGATGCTGTTTTGGGCTCACACACACTTGGATGACACCACAGGCGTGCGAGGAGGATATCAGAGGAACAAAACATGATGTAAATAACGCTGTTTTTGGTTCACATACATACTCAAATGACACCACAAGAGCAGTATGGAGACATTTTATGTCTTTTTTTTTTTTTTCTGTCATTTATTTTTGGAGAATCTGTCCCCAGTTACTTCAATTGCATTGGATTTGGCTGCAGCGCTATTGTGTTGTGTGTTTTTTGGACTCTAACACTTCACCCAACACTCCATTGGCATAGTGTTGAATAGATGAGTGAATAAAAAAATTTCTGTGAACTATCCCTTTATTACACAACTGAAGTTTAAATCCCTGATTAATTTCATCAGGCTTGAAAGTTAAATATAGTTGGGTATCATCTGTGTAAGATTGGAAATTTAGGTGGTGCATTCTGATAATATTCCCTAGAAGAAAGCATATACAAAGGGAAAAGTATTAGTCTTAGCACAGAACCTTGTACAACTATATGACTAACTGTTGTGTGCATGGAAGAGTCATTGTTAACAGTGCTGTTCCTTTAATCATAATAACATGCTCCACTCTCTGTAATAGAATCCTATGATCAATGGTGTCATAATGCAACACCAAGATCCAGCAGGAAGGGTACAGAGACAGGTCCATTGTCTGAGGCCATGAAAAAAGGTCATTGGTAACGTTTAGCAGTGTTGTTTCTGTACAATGAAGAATTGCTCTATTCACTTTCTTGGTTTTCATCTTTTTTTATTCTTTTGTAGTATTTTTTTTAAGTTATTTACATTGCTCAAAAAAATTTAGGGAACACTTGATCGTCACAGTATAACACCAAGTCAGTTAAACTATTATTGTAAATCAATTTTACCTGCTTTGGTGCAAATGAAAGTGACAGCAGGTGCAATCGAGAGGCAAAAAGTGGGCCCTGGATTCCTTCTGGTGCAGTACAATGCCCCACCAGAGTGTGTCGGCAGTTCCTGGAGGATCAAATCAATTCTAATTTTATTTGTATAGCCCAAATTCATAAAACTCATTTAGCCTCAGAGGGCTTTGCAATCTTTACAGGGAGTGACACCCTCTGTCCTTAGACCCTCAGTTCGAGTGAGGTAAAACTTGCCCACAAAAAACCCTTTTAACAGGGAAAAGAAGGTGGAAGAAACCTCAGGGAGARCCACAGAGGAGGGATCCCTCTCCCAGGAGCGACAGACGTGCAATGGATGTCACATGTACAGAACAAAGCAACAGAAACATATTGTACAATTACAATGAAAGACAATAATTACAGTAGCAGTGGTGGTAATATGTAACAATGCTACAATAATATACAAGTTAATATTAATGTCATAGAATTATGACTAATAATAATAATAACAAGAGTGGTGGATGTCAGGCAGGGCCATGGCAGTAGTGACAACCACGATCCATGACCTGGGAGCAGCCATGATCCATGAGAACCTGCTGGACGAGAGAGCACATAAACTCCAGGGAAGAAGTTTAGTTAGTAACATGCATTAATGAGACATGTATGTTTACAGATGGTGAAGATAACAGAGAGACAGAGAGAGAGAGAGATGGAGGGAGGGTCTCCCGGCAGTCTAGATTTTACAGGTAGCCAATGTAAAGAAGCCAAAATGGGAGAGATGTGATCTCTGATCTTGGTTCCTGTTAGAACACGTGCAGCAGCATTCTGAATTAGCTGCAAAGTCCTAAGAGACGTATTGGAGCAACCTGATAACAAAGAGTTACAATAATCCAGCCTAGAAGTAACAAATGCTTGGACTAGTTTTTCTGCATCCGCTTGAGATACAATCCGTCTAATTATGGTGATGTTACCTAGGTGGAAGAAAGCAGTCTTTGAAATGTGTTTTATGTGGACATTAAAGGACAGATCCTGATCAAAAATAACTCAGAGATTCGGTGGAGCTGGAGGCCAGGGGTGATCCCGTCTTAAGTAACTACGTCTCTAGAAAGAGAGTTTCTGAGGTTTTTGGGTCCAATTACAAGAACTTCAGTTTTGTCTGAATTTAACATCAGAAAATTGTAGGTCATCCAACTTTTTATATGCTTAAGACATGTCTGGTAGGAGATTCACCAGGACACAATCTGCCGACTCAACCCAGACATTTTAGGGATTGCAGACAGGCACACAGAGGCCATACACATGACTGAGTCACATTATGAGCTGCTGTGAGGAAATTCAGTTTCAAGTTCGATCAGCTTGTGATTTAAATTTTTCACCTAGATTTTTGGTGTGGTTTTGAATCCAGCACTCAATGAGTTGATTATTTTGGTTTCCACTGATCACTGTTTTGTCATTTTGTTCTCAACAAATTATCCAATGTACATCATTAAAGTTTTTCAACTTGAAAAAGATCTGATGTATGATTTAAGTGTTCCATTAATGTTTCTGTGCAATGTACTTCCTTTTTCTTAGCTGTTTGTTGATCATTTAAAAATTGCCTACAATGTTGATGTTCCACAAATCTTTCAACTGTCAGTTGACATCAGTTTTGTTTTCCTACTCTTTTAGGTGAAGTTCAGTGAGTTAACCATTGATATGTTTCGCATGCTACAAGCTTTGGAGAGGGAACCTGTCAATCTAGCTACACAGACCTTCAAACAAGGAACACTGGTGAGTGTCATGTTTTTCAAAATCCTCTGGTGACTTAAGGTTTTCACAGCATTAATAATAGTTAAAATATATTTGGTATAGCACCTTGCATAGAAATCAAATTTAAAAAGGGCTTTACAAAAGAAATAAACATAACATAAAAAACATAAACCAAAAGTTAAAGATAAAGACCCTAAAGATATAGACCAAACACCTGCAACTGAGGATGCCAAAAGAAACACACCAGAAACTGGCAAATCACAACATATCTCAGATTGGGGTAAAAGTCAGTATAAAGTTATAGGTATTCAGTTGATATTTAAAAGCATCCACAAAGACCACATGCTGTATACCCGATGGTAATGTTTTCAGATGATATCTTCAATCACCATACTCACCTTTTTTATTCTAGACTCTAAAGTGTGGGCCAGTATGCTCTGGACAAATTTTGGTGGAAAAGGTCACACATGTACTCCGGTCCCTGACCATGAAGGATTATATGTGAATGCAACTACTTTAAAATGCCTTCTAATCACCAAATGTTAGACCAATGTAAAGGTCCAGTAGCAGTATTCCTGACCATCTATAGATGTTCAGAGATGAGTTGTCAAAACAATGTGATTGCACAAAACAATAAGTATTTATCCTAGCTCAGTTTTGTACATAATAGGCATGAGCTTTGAGATACATTAAACTTGTACGGGTCAATTATTTGATGAGATAATACATAGCCTGATCAAAGATATAACAGATTTCCTAAACCTAGGACTATGCTATCTGGAGCAATGATCAGACCTTTTGTCATATCTCACTTTAGCTGTAAGAAGTTGCTAGACATCCACAAATGGAATACCTATGAAAAAATACTTGCTTAAAGTAGATAGTGGGTAAATCACATTTTATTGAAGTCACCTTAAAATAGTAATCTGTATTAATATTAAATTCCCCACTATAATATATCTTTCCAACCTTATGATGGAAGTCTAATTATTTGCATTTTAAAAGTTTGAAAAACTCTCACAGATTGACTCTGAAAACAGTTCCTGGGGATCAGACTGAATCCTCCATCCTAGTCCATAAAAAGTAATTTGAGGAATAACTGGAAGTGGATGCTGTTGGATGGTTTATTCATGTGGGGTGGAATCAGTGCTCGACGTCATGTGAATTTTTTTCATGGGAAGCAGGTGTGTTGAAGCAGGAAGGACACTCTGCTCTGAAGACGTAACCCTGTTGCCAGAAGAAGTGAAAATGATTAACACACACACAAACACACAGGCAGACGGAAGGTAGACCAATACTTGCAAGATGTAGTCGGCCTCACCTCAGTGTACAGCATGTATTATATAACCAAACTATAGCAGAGGAGCTGAACTCTCCTTCTCTGGCGTAGCCCAGGGTGATAGGCATTGGGCAGGAGTGGGGATACTCACAAGATCCTTGCTGAGCACCAGTATGTTGGAGTTTTCCCAGATAGTGAATGGGTTGCATCCTTGGGGATCTAGATTGCCAAGGGGAAGACTCTGGCTATTGTGTGTACTCATGCAACAAACAACAGCTCAGAGTACCTGGCCTTTACTGAGTAGCCTACAGATATTGAAGCCAAAAGAACTGCAGCTTCCGCATTTTCTGCGTCACAGAAGTAAAAACTCTGATTTACGAGTTCAGGGAGGTCACAGAGAAGGATTTTTTTCGGTTAGCCTCAAAGAAGTTCTTGCAAGCAATTCAGCAGCTCACAAAAGGAAAGCAGGGCTTGGCTTAGACTTTGTACAGTTGGGGAACTGCTGACTTAGACTAGAGACATTTTCTGTGGATGAGGCAGAGTCTAAAGACTCGGGGGAGAGGTTGCTGAGGTTGGTTATCGTGGCCTACACTCTCTTCAATGCTGCATTAAGATCAGAAACAGTAACTCTGGAGTAGCAGACAGGGATGATGATTCACATTTTCTAGTGCTGCTACCATCTCATCTATTCATATCACTTTTATTATTTTAAATGTAACAACCAGTCTGACAGAGCCATAATATGACAGTAACAAAACTGTTCATGGTCTCTCTCTTCTCTTTTGCCCCTCTTCCCCAACTACCCCCCCTCTTCCCTTTTCCACCCACCCCTCCTCTCTTTCCAAGTTTTCTCCGTTCACCCTAACTGGTTGAGGCAGATGGCCATCCACATTAAGTCTGGTTCTGCCAGAGGTTTCTTCCAATTAATGAGGGAGTTTTTCTTCTCTCCAGTCTCCAAATTGCTTGCTTGTTGTGGGAACTGTTTGGTTTCTCTATACATTTTAAGGTCTCGAATTTAAATGTAAAATGCTTCAAGATAATATATGTTGTGATTTGGCATTATACACTTAAAAATGTATTTAAATGAAATAAGGCGTATTACTGTGTCCCCCAGGGGAGCCATTGTTCACCATGATGTGGCTCTGTTGGCCTCTTCAGTGCGATATCTCCAGTGCGCACAGGGTCAGTTTGCAGCTGAGTGATTTTATACATGTACTGAGATGTGGAGAGAGAGACAGTTACATCAACACAAAATATGCATTTCCATAAACACACTAAAGCAGTCAGAAGTCTACATAGTAAAAGACATATTTAGTGGGGTAAGGTGTTTTGTGTTCAAAGGGTTATTTGGAGGAGAGTGATAGGGGGAAATTTATATTATTCATATAGAGTGAGACAGTCAATAAGTTGAGGATGAAATGTAGATGCTTGGAGGGTTTTTTTAGTCAAAATAGAGATGTCCTACTATGTATAGTTTTTCCACAGCCAAGTTTGCACGTTTATTGTTCTGTCTGTGTTCTTTCAAAAATAGGGTAGAGATATTTGCAGCTTTTGTCTCGTGGAAATTCATGGTTAAGTCTGTATTACTTTCCTTAATTTTTTTTTCTTTGCTTTTAATGAGTTCCTTATCCTTGAAAGTTTCAATTTGGCGAGTGTCTGGTTTGAAATTCCACTTTTTTATTTATGGATTGAAGTGCACTAACCTCCATTTCTGTCGTCTGAAGAACACAGGTATCTGTGGATGATTTGTTTTGCATTTGTTTGGATTAAATAGGTCTTGGAGTTGTTATCCACTGTGCACAGGTTGTAGTGGTGATCGATGTATGCTTCTAAATCCTGCAGTATGTAAAAATAGTGATCCGGTTGGGGTTGTATGAGGGTATTGTGTTTTTTAATTTAAAGAATGTGGGATACTCGGCCCACTCCGGGGAAGGACGGGAGGAGAGAATGGCGTTTGTTCAGTCTTTTATTTCCGTCGCCTTCCTTCGGCAACAACACACACACACACACATATATATATACAAGTCTCTATCTTAGCGGGGTCTTTCAGTCCACGCACGCACGCATACGTCCCCACGTCTGCCGCTCCTCTCTGTTCTCAGGACGCCAGCCTACTACCAGAGACAGAACCAGGTTACAAGCATGCTTTTATTGATTGCCCTGATCACCTGATTCTGAACAGCTGTCGGATCACCGGCTGTGCCACTCCTCCCTGTTGTCCAGCAGCTGGCACCCTAACCATACCCCACCGCCACAAAGAACAATTAATATATAGTATAACAAAACGTTTAGTGATGGATTGCTCTCTCCAGGTTGGGGTTGAGTAGCTGCCACAAGTAAGGGAGTTTAAGTGTCTCAGAGTCTTGTAAAAGAGTGGGGGGAAGATGGAGCACCGGATGGAAAGGCGGGTTGGTAGTAATGTGTAGCAATGAGTATATGTGAGTAATGAGTTTTGAAAGAGAAGAGTTGAGGTGTTTTGCGGATCTAGTCAGGATGACCCCTGGCTACCTTCTTATAGAATTTTTTAATGCAAGACGAACTGGAAGGACACCCTAGGGAAGACTCAGAGCAGGTGTGGAGGCCCAGCAATTGTGTGAACCATCTCATGCCATGTTAGAAGGACGTTCTTACCAAAGCAACAGTAAAAATGTGTCTCATAAATGATAGCGTCTCACAGGGTCATTAGGTAGACACTTTGTGTGTCCCTATGTTTTGCCCGCAACAGTAGCCTATAATAGAAAAATGTTTACAGTTTCAATTTAGACTTTAGCTGAAATATGAACATTAATAATATAACATATTTCTCCACAGGAACCCAATGAGAAGCCAGCTAAACGAGAAAACCCTCACAAGTATTTGTTGTACAAGCCAACATTCAGCCAGCTTTTTACATTTTTGTCTGCCTCTTTTAAGGTCAGTATTCTCATTTATCACATCCTTTTTTTTAAAAATATCACTTAAATTAAATAATTTATTGTTAGACATGTAAGTTTGTTACGAGGTGAAATACTCAATATATGTCAAAGATGGTTTGTGACACTGTCAGTATTCAGATTCAGATTTTTCTATTTCTGTTATATTATATATTTTCAGATATATATAATACTTCTGTAGGTATGTTTCACTGAGATAATATTTATTATAACATTGTTGTCTTTTACTGACTTGGGAACATTATAACTGTTAGGGCCTGTATATATCAGTATCTTAGGAACTCTTAGGAGTTCTGAACATTTCGGGAAAGAGTGCGCTATCACACCTACATGCAAAGTGGAAATAATAATAATTCTGTTTTGGTTTTTCTGACAGTTGAAGTCTTTAATTGAAAAAATCCCTGGATGAGCAACGTCTTTTAACTGGACACTTTATCTATATAAACAGAGGTTGATTCTAAAATTAGAATCACAATTAATACCTGCAATACCTTAAATCCAATAACGGCCATTTATCAATTAGCCACTTGCAATAGACTGTCTGAAATACAGCCCCACTACTGAAATAAATACATAAGTAAATGCGTACATGCAGCTTGTTTTGACTAAAAATTAATGAATCAGAGTATTATTTGATGAGCTGCAGGAGGGATCAAGCTTTGATTTCACTACTGAGATTGAAAATTGTGATGGACAATGATAAAGTAACAATACACTTTTCCTGTCAATTTGAGGTTGTGAGGACTTCTGCTTTTATTATTTCAATTCAGCATATAAGAAACATTCAGGGATAAAATGTGTTAATTTCTGTCAGTTACCATCAAATAAGACTTGACTTCGGCTTGGGTGCCCTTAGTATTTTTAACTTAATGAATAGAGACCAGGCCGAAAGTTCTGTAACTCTCTGGAAAATGTATATTGGCTTTAATGTAAGACAATGTTTTTTTTCCTCAATTTTAGGATTACACAAATGCATATTGATTAATTCAGTCACAAAAGATATTCCTTTTGAATGGAGAGTACCAGTATAACTACAGTATTTGCCAAGGGCCAACAGTACCCTTAATTCAATCAAGTCGTACAAAATTGGATACACTCATAGATACCAGTTCCCTAAACATGCCAAAATATCCATTTATACCCAGGGAAATGGAAATGTGAAAATAAAATAAAAAAGCTCTATCTCGCAATGTTAAACCAAGTCATTAAAAATATCTGGATTTGCCCTTTTGTCCGGATCCATGTCAACATTCTTTGGTCCCATCCCAGAGTGCAGTAGTTTTTGCATTAACCAGCTGACAAATCAACCAACAAACAAATGGGATAAAAATACAACTTCCTTGGCAGTGGTAATCGGTCTCGGAAGTTTCTTGATTGTACAGTTTAACCTGCAGGAGTTTCTGAAGCCTGCTGCAACGTGTTCTACCTCACAGAGGAAATAAATTAATTGAGCTTAAAAACAAGCTGGTGTCTCCCATTACTGGAGAAATCAACTAGGGAGGAAATCAAACAGCCAGAAACTACATCTATCAGAGGAGATGACAGGTGGTGAGCTAAAAAATTCTCAAGATAAAAAAAATGTTCCACCTGTCAGACAAAATAATTATTTGTGAGGAATGAGAGTGAGATGAATTGACTTGATACTGTACCTCTGTTAGCTGACAAAAAGCTTAGATTATAGAATGTAGCGCTACCTTAATGAACATTTTGTTTCACATTGGTTGCTATAGCAGTTTGTCAGCTGCTTAATGGGACTATACAGTGATACTTGAGTAAATAGTAAGGGTGTTCTGATCAGGATTTTTGGGCCGATATAGATCACCTATCACAGGTTTAAACCTGACCCTGTTTAAACCTGATTAACACGTGTCTCAGGAGATCCAGGGGACCACTTATGATCAAATTTCTCTTCCCAGCTCTATATGCAAATAAACACTACAGGGCTGAATTCTAGTCAGAATTTCGTCAGTAAGTTATTCCTGTCAACTTGTCCCTTTTTTAAATTCAGTGCCACATTAAACACCTTAATCAGCCTTTGTCTGTGTCACATGTTTCACCTGCGCTGTCACCTTGTCCTGCACAGCTGCAGGGGTGATGCTGTGCAGGATTTTACAACTGAACACACAGCAGTCAGCAACCTCCTAATTACTGCTTATTGATAATAAGTAAGGAAGTTGTTGTACATGAATTACAATTGTAATATGCGTTGCTCATTATGGGCCTTATAAGTGTTAACAGTGTCCAAATAACTCTAATTTAAGTCTTTCTTACTCAGAACATGTTCCCCATTCTAAAGTAGGGTGGTGAAGTTATTGAGGGAAAACTGTTAATTAATGGCATAGTAGTTGTAGAATAAGTTCATGCAGAATAAAGCATCAATAAGTGCTTTATAATGACTAATAAAGAGCTAATATGCTATTAACATGCATGCTAATAAGCAACTAGTTAATGGTTAATACATGTTACTAAAAGTATTTACTGGTATTTACTGGCTTTACAAGTGAACCATTTCAATCCCTTCTCATCTCTGTTGAGAGTTGCACTTCATGAGTGACAGATGTTTGTTTTCATCTCCTCTGTGTTTATACAGAATGCCGTTACAGATCGGTAGCCGATCAATCGGAGCACCCTAGAATAGTGAATGTTTTCAGTTTCTGTGTGTAAATCGAGATTTTAACATCTCGTTCCTCTGAATTCAGCGAGGTGCAATCTGTTGCTTTAGTTAAGGATAATCACAGCTTGTTTTTGCCTAGAAGATACATTTCTGTTAAGAGTTTAAACTGCTCATGTCTTCCTGTGTCTCGCTCTGGTGGATGCTTATACTAATTTATATTTTTACAGAATGTCCGTTCATAACAGTAAATACTGAGAATTGAGTTGATAAATGTTGTACATGCTGCAACTGCTGGACAATTATATTAACATTCTAGTGCACATTGACTGTGAGTATATAACTCCCAACCTTCCCATCAGAAATGTTTTTGCCTTGGATCTAACATGTCACATTCAAATAATCTTTTTTTTCATTGCTCTAATTTCTAGGAATTGCCTGCCAACAGTGTTCTGCTTGTTTACCTGTCAGCAACTGGAATCTTTCCTACTGGACATTCAGATTATGAAGGTAAAATCCTAGACCTCACACTCGTAATATCCATTTAGAGATATGACTTGCCACCAATCATTTTTGATTGATTCTCTTTGTGTCAAAAGAACAAAAGATATCTTGCCTGTGAATACACTGTAAGGTGCTGTTGAACACAAATGCACATTGTACAAGTAGATATTCTTAAATTAAGGCAGAGGTATAAAATAGGCCTGCACCAGTGTATATCAATCAATCAAACGTTGTTTATATAGCACCTTTCATGCAGGTTAATGCAGTTTAAAGTGGTTCACATATGATTGATGATATGATAACAAGACAGACATAAGGGGAAAAAAAGGACCAAGGAAAAGAAACTATTTAAACAATTACAAACAATTTGAGACTAATGCCTGCAGTAAAATGAAGAAAGAAGAGAATAAATAAATAGAAAAATAATATGAATATAATGTAATAAACTGGCATAAATAACAGTCAGATTGGTGAAAGTGAGGAATAAAAACTTAATTAGGAAACTAAAATAAAATATAATAGGAAGAACTAATGCAAATGAATAAAATTGAGTTGAATAAAAGTTGATATAAAATGCCTATGGTTACAATAAGTAAAAGTACTTATAATGATACGAATTAACTGAAAATTTGTATATCTAAAAGAAAAACAACAAACAACTTCCTGTTTCACAGCGAAACATTGACACAACTTATCCATCATCAAAATGTTTAGATTGCGCTGAACAAATTTAAAGTCAATCTGATTAATTGTCAAGGAGGAGATCATTAAAGTATGATGTGTGCCTCTAGTGGTAAAGCTTACATTGCAACAAACTGAATCCTCACTTGCCTCCTGCCTTCTGAGCAGGAGGAGAGCTACGATGACTTTCCTGTGTCAAAATGCCAGCAACACTGTCTTTAGAACAATGTATTTACAAATTATATTTGTGTATTTCGTATGTAAACTATACTTGATAGTTTACATGTAGAACATTTATGTGGCCGCGCTGTGGCAGCGCTTTATTACTGATGTTAGCTAAATTAGCTGAATGCTAGTGCTAGCTAACATTTCCAATCAAACTAGTATAGTGTGATAACAGCGAGAAGGCGTTAGCAGGAGACATATGTTTTCTCCATTTACAGACTGAAACAGCTGATAGCTGTACTGATGTGAAGAGAAAAGATGAGGAAGAGGCAGGGGCAGACGATCTGTGAGGGACAGACGAGGGATAGCTCCCGCAGTAGCAGCAGCAGCAGTGAGGAGGAAGAGGAGAGATTGAACCCCTGCAAAAGGACTGAATTGAAGCTACACAGGTTAGTATTTATAACACTATTTTTATATTATTAATTATATTCTTAAGTGATCTGCATGATATGAACAAGACCAATACAACGCACAGTGGTGTTTATACTGCAGGTCTGTGTTTACATCTTAGTAATGTTACTGTAACGTTAGCTGTACATTGTATGTCAATCACTGACTGTAAAACGTCAGAGACACCACTGAACATTAATTATACCAATACTATATAGGGATAGTATGTTACAGGAATATCTTGACACACTGTTTTAGATGTATGGGATAAAAAAATGTTACAGCCTACAACCCCTAATCAGACATTGTCATATACTTAACATAGTATAGCCAATAATAAAGCCTTATCTGTGTTTCTCCTTTGTTTATGTCTCCAGACACTTATTCAAGAGATGAGTCTGGAGGAGCACAGGAGCTGACAGTGCAGGCATGGCGACCCACCGTTTGCTGGAGTGCCACAGTGTACTTGTGATAACTGTAGGAATATACCTTTCAGACTGTGAGAGGATCTACCACAACACTTCTCCCATTACTGGGTTGAAATTTGTTACATTTTCACAGGCAGTACCGGGAGGATACAGTATAAGACGATATCAGAGAGCCTGGGAATGACAACAAGGAGTACCTTTATGCAGCATATCAGCATTATATTCATTGGCAACATGGCTCAAGATCAGGTAAATCGTATTTGTAGGATCAGAGAACTTGTTCCTCTGGAACCGTCATACAGTACCACAATTACTCACACACCTGCATATACATCATCAAGTTATTATTATATTTCTGTTGTATATCGTTAAACTGTAATTGTTTTTTTATTT